TTCGCTTCATGTCATGTTGGAATATACGTTGGAAAACCTTCTAACAACTGTCCGTAAGATAACGGGAAAGAATTAGAAAAGCCATCCACTAATTTTCTTTAGAAACTAAATGACATAAGTAACGCAGGGGTCAACTTTGAGAGAATAACTTGTTTTATTATATGGCTGTCTCACAAGGACTGGGAACTACCAAATTTACGAATTTGATTGGCTGAAATCAGTATTAAAAGCGGTCTAGATTTTCCCATCTAGACCGGTCTAGAAAAAAAAGGTATAAAAAATATAAAAAATTGGCATATAAGATAGCCATATAATAAACATATTATTAACCGTGCGAGGTCGGTCTGTATGGAAGAATCTTGACCTCGGTCGCTGGTACAGAACCGCGCTCGGTCTGTACTGGCGACCTCGGTCAAGATTCTCCCATACAGACCTCCCACTCGGTTAATAAGAACTAAATACATCTTGGACATACTTCATATTTTTTTATACTGGTATAGCTGGTATATCAATGATCTACGCTCAAAGTCTAATGAACTAATATCGTTAGAACTTACATGAGATATGCTTGGGTTTACATGTAGTGTGCAGAGATCAGTACTGTCCCAACGGAGGCAAGTGTGTTGGACTCGGTTCAGCTGGGTGCCAGTGCCCCGCAGGTTACAGTGGAGCTTTCTGTCAGAAAAGTAAGTGCAAATGAATGTCATTTCAAAACTCTTCTGATTCCGAAACGTTATGAGAGTGAAATTATCATTTAAATGACGAAATGAAGGTAACAACCTCAAGATTAAAGAGATATGACTCGAGGTAGAGAAAGAGCGTCTAAGGTGCAGCCAAATTATCAACTCCTTTCTTATTCTATATTGTCAATTGTTCCATAATGTCACAAAAATAATCAATAATCTACGCTCAAGTTCGAGTCTGTCATTTTGAGTCAAATGGCCGTTAGATTGGATGTTTCCCCATTCGTTTGGAAGCTACTTCCCCATTATTGCACATTTAAGACTGACTGGACTTTAGTGGGGAACGCAATAGCACCAGCTTTGGTACACGTACCATTATTCTGCTTATCGAGGACATTTTCTGCAGGTAAATGCGCAAGCAAGCCATGTAAAAATGGTGGTACGTGTATTGGCGAAAACCTTTGTAACTGCCCACCTAAATACTCTGGCCCTCAATGCACATTGAGAGAAAGACTGGGAACTAAAGAAAATCCAGCACCAAACGCTCAAGCAATTCTAGACGCCGGTGATAGTCAGGGAAGCGGAATGTACTGGATTCAGCCTCCTGGTGAGACAGCCCCAGCTCAAACTTACTGTGACATGACTTTCGCTGGTGGTGCATGGATGTTAGCTGGTTACGGTTACGTTTACTCAACGTCAATAAATGCCAACAATAAGGCCATACCCAATATGAATAACCCTTATGGTTACGCCTGGCTTCCCACACAACGCAAATCCGAAAATGGTCTGATCAATCTGCCCCATGGCGCTGTAAAAATGGCCAATAATGCTCGTTCTATGATCATGGCTGCGGGTAACAACCCAGCCACAGGCGGTATTGATCAATACTCATATGTCTACCGCATCAACATTTCCGATAATCCTTACACCATAACCTTTGCAAATCATAACCGCTATAATGGCGGACAGCCGGGTCGTATGCATGTCCAAGATTTCATTGTTGAAGCGTTGAAAGGAGAAAGTGGAAAGTATGTCAGACATGCTTTAGGGGAAGCCTTAGGGGTGACATGGTCCGACTCATATCCCACCGGTTATGGGTTTAACGACAAAACGCAACGTTATTCATGCTATGACAAGGGTCCCTTTTTCCCAAGTGTCCACTCGGGCTCGGGACGTAGTTCATGTGGTGGATGCACCCCAACTAATTACGAGCCTGACGTGAAGGGAGGTTCCCCTCACTACACACATCGTGGCTGGTACACAGCTACAGGTTTTGGTAAAACAGGGCAAACCTCTGTTTGGTTTAAGTAAAAGATTAGCACATGGTGCATAGAGCACATCAGAGCATAAAGTTCAATTTGAATAAATTGATGGCCTTGTTTTCCATAGCTCACATAGCTCGGCTACAGCGTTAGTTTCAAACATTTGTTTAGTAAAGTACTGCAACTATACAGGTATTAAAACCTTTTAAACTTTCATTGCCAAGCTGTGTTGAGATCTTACTTATCAAACGTATGGATGATAGATAGTTACGGCTATCGAAGGTATGAACTGAACTAAACCTTGATTGAATCCTTGAATCCATGCCTTTCTCCACGTTATATGAAGTCCACCTCGGTTCTTTTTCTCTAAATAGTCCATTCTGGGGGAAAAAGCATTTATGATGGTATAGATTTTGATCGTTCCCATTGCGATAAAAAGATTTCCATCCAATCACATGCAATTTTGTCAAAACCACACATTGTCTGCATACACCTTAGTTCTGTCATAGCCGTCGACAATGGTTTTAATAGCCAACCGAGTTCTTTATCTAATGTTACAATGCATGTGAAACGCAGCCATAATATCACTAACTTTTGCCGTAACAGATACGGACATCTGTTTCAACGTTTGTGGTGCATTTTTTCGTAAATTTCAAATTGAAATCTATTTTGACTGAGCCACGGACAAATACGTGCTTGCAACTCCATTGCTAGGATTGAATACCAAATAATCCACCGTTGTTGATACGGGGTAGCGAAAAGAATGTCATATATCACGTAAATAGTTTCAATTAACAGGTAGTAAGCATTGAAAATCGTAGATAAAAGATACACTTGTTTCCTCTATCTTCGCCACTCCTCTACCTTTACCCGTCTTACCAAGCTTTGGAGCTTTCTTTTTTGTCGATGTAACTATCATGCGTATACATGGCAGTATGCGATAAATCTGAATTTTTCCAGTCATTTTTTGTAATCGTATACAACTGAGACAACTACGTTCGACAAAATCAACAGAAAGGGAAGAGGAAATAAGTAAACGACTGTGTCATAACTATCTCTGCTTCCTCATCTTTAAGTTTAAACATCGTGTCTCATTCACGGGAAAATATGTAGAATTGAGTCAGTTGGGCGAGAAAACTAAAAGATAAGGAAGAGGAAGTAAAAGTGGTAGAAATTGGGATAAAAGGCGGTCACTTATTTCCTCTTCCCGGTGATCTTCTAGAAATAACAAACATCACGTCTTACTTGTATGTGGAAGTATATCAAATACGACACCCAAAAGCACAACAAAAGAACAAAACGAGTTCTGGTGTCTCTGAAAGGTGTACTAAACGACAAGAGCGGTTTCGCTTCACGACACGTACGATAGCTGATAGAAGGAGGACGATAAGTTCTAATGGGAACGTTTTCAGCGTTAGCTTTCTGCTGCTGGCTCGCCCTGAGCCTCTGCTCTGCCAAGTTCGTATTTCCACTCAACAATCGATCACCGTCGGCACTCAGTACTGTCAAGGAAAACTGCAAAGAGGTAGGTTGATTAACCAACATTTTATTTTGTTTTAAAATAATATGCATGCAAAATTTTTTAGCACGCTCAGTGGCTAAGGACACGTCAATTTATCCCATTCAATGCAAACGAATTAAAAATGGGTCCAAAAAGTTGAAATTGAGTGCAGAAAGTTGAAATTGAGTGTGGAAAGTTGAACTAATTTGATTAACAGGGAAGACGCGAAATTACAATAAAACAAATGGCGGACCTCTGAGGTTAGGAGAAAGTAAAAACGTTTTAAATAGTTCAGAGTTTGAAGGAGAGTACTAAGAACAAAAACACTCAACAGAGCACAAACAGCTGGCTAAAAGTCTGAAAGTCTTGGGCTTCCAAAAACGGCTATAACAAAAGTATTGAAACATACGAACCGGAAGCTCCGAACAAAATCCTCGAGCAACGGCTGCCTTACCGAGAAGAGTGCAAACGCTCGATTATTCGTGACAGAAAACCCCGACTGCTCCGGCAACAACACAAAGGGAAGCGGCGGAACCAGTGATCCGTGATATTCAAATATTTGCACGTACATTATTAACATGTAATCACATGATATTTTTTCTGTGCAATTTGGGATAAGTCAGTGCTCGTTAAATTTTCAGGCCGACCACAAATTGGTAAACCCATGAAAAATTTACTCGTGCTGATTCACAATAAATTGTAAATAAATAACCTGGCTGTTCAAGGACTACTAACTTAGTCATTGACCACTGAGCCGAACTAAAGCTACTTTCACGAGCGTGCTACTGATAAAATCACAATTGGTTGTTAAATTCGACAAGGACACCTGTGTTCTGATTAGCGACCAGAGCGGGCAAGATGGGCCCATTTTGCCCGCTCGGAATTGCCCGCATTGATCCGCGCAGAAAAAAAATCATGAATTAGGAATACGTTCGTAATTCTTGGACAATTTCGGCGATGGGAGGGCAAAAAGCAGCAGGAGATAGGCAAAACAAAGAAAGCAGAAACGACTCTTGTGAGTTTGTTGTGCTACAAACACAGTTTGCTTTCTTTCCCGGCTCTCAAAGTAAACAAGTCATTTTTTAATTCTTAAAAAAGCTAAATCATTTTGCAATAGAATAAATCCTTTATTAACCAAGCTTGTTCGGTCAAAATGGCTGAATATTAGCCTCGTCCTTTTTTAGCATTTTTATGGACCTCGACTTCGTCTCGGTCCATAAAAATGCAGCCACCTTTTAATTTCACGCTTGGTTAATAACGCATATATATATTTAACAATTATTCGCCGAAGGCGAGGTGAATATCGTCTAATAATCCCCGAGACGAAGTCGAGGGGATTATTCGACAATATTCACCGAACCTGAGGCGAATAATTGTTTTAGTATAATTTTAGAGCTGAACAACAGAGAAATTTCTAAAATCATAACATTTTAGTAACATTTATTAACATTTTATTTTAACATTTTATATAAA